ACCTTGCTGTTCTTGTGATACTGAGTGAGTTCTAAGGAGATCTGGTTGTTGAAAAGTGTGTAGCACTTTCCCTTCACTCTCTCTCTCTCTGTCCTCCCACCATGTGTAGATATGCTTGCTTTCCCTTAGCACTTCTACCATGATTTTAAGTTCACTTGAGGTCTCCCCAGCCAAGTCTCCCATACAGCATGTAGAACTGCGAGTCAATTAAACCTCTTTTCTTTATACATTCCCCTGTCTCAGGTAGTTCTTCATAGCAGTCTGAGAATGGACTAATGCAGTATTAACTCTTTCTTTCCTCAAATATCAAAGTTCAAATTTTGTAGGCCTCTGAGAAACATTATATAGCAGTGCAGTTGCAAAATGAGCAGGAAAGGTTGGGAAGGCAAACCTGAGGTAAACCTGTGCAGAAGTAAACCTGCAGAAGGCTTAGGTTTACTTCTACACAGGTGTTTTCTGTAGTATGGCACCAAATGGACATCTCAGTCACAGAAAGCTAACTCTCCAAGGTCAGCCTAAGTCCTGTCCATTGACTCAAGTATCACACCATGAACATATTTAACTTAAACTAGGTGTACTCAGGAATGAGTGAGTTTGGATGTAGATGTCAATCACTTCATAGTGAATGATGAATTGAATTTAATGGTTTTGATGTCTCAGATGACATTTTTATCATAATTTTTCTCTTTTTGTTTTTTTTTGACAGCCTGCTACAACAGCGTTGATAACCTTCCTGGTTATCTCCTCATGTTAGGCAGTGAACTTCCTGACAGCAAGCAGAGTCACTGCAATGTATTGTTTTTAACAAAATTGCAACTATGTGTTAAAATAGAATATGCCTCTAGATATTTTTTCTGTCATAAGTTTTACATATTATTTTAATAGATAACCTGCTTTGCTTGGAGAGTATCCATTTAAAATTATATTACTGCTGTAGATGCTTGTCTAATTACGAAGAATCCTTGTGATACGTTTGTTTTACATTGATAGCACCATTTTAACTTTAACCATAGACAAAGAAACAATGTCCTATTGTTGCTCAAAATGAATCTTAACATTTTGCTGGAGTTAAATTTTCCAACTCACATTCAGGCAATGTATATTTTTTAAAACTACTATCATGATAAATATTTTCTATTTTGAATTAATTTGCATGTTTTAAAATAGTTAATGCCGTTAACTGTGTTGCTGATTCATTCCACGAAAATAAAAAATCTTAAAAAAGGCATTATTTGTATTAGGGTTGTGTATATAAGTGAGTGTGAATGTGTTTATTTTAATAAAACTATTTTGTAATTCACTTAATGGTCTTTAGCTTGAATTTTCAAAAGGTATGACTATTAGCAAATTGATAGGAAAGTAGACAACAATGAATTAAGGGTTACTGGCAGCCTAAGACACTGTTTATCTCTTTTAAGGTAGACAGAATTCAAATTGCCTTCATTAGCTGAGCAATATGCTCTGGAAAATGTGCTGGGTACTTATCAAGAGGCTCTTTCATTTGCATTTTTGCTAAATAAACAAGCTGCTTTGTTTCCTAGCTGCTCAAGAGCTGTGAATAGAAGAGAAAGAAAATAATCCAGGTAAGTAAGCCAGGGGGCATTCCAGGACTAGAATAAAGAAAAGAAAAAGTTTATCAATGAAGATGTCAGAATTGTGCCTTGCATATTTGTGATATAAAAAGATAGTCTCACACATAGTTAGAATCGCGAATGTAAAAATGAATTAATTCTCCCCACAGCCACCAGTACCACAAGCAAAGACAGAGGCTGTTCTTTTGATAAATGATCAATACTTCAGCCCGACACTACTCTAGCTGCTCTGCTGTTGCTGGTTAAAAGTTTGAATTTCAATTAAGCAGTAAATCTTTATGGTATCACATCTCCAACAGTCAATTAATGTCTCCCTAATCTCTTGAAATTCTGAAACACTATTATTTTGCAGAGTCCTTTCCTTCAGGCTCATTCACCAGCACAGTGTTCTTGTTAGACAGGTAAACACAAAGTTTTCTCCAAATAAAAACTCAAATATTAAACAATTGTTTTGTTCACATTTTTTGGTCATTTGTCTATGCGTAAAGAATGTTATACTTTCAGAGTTGTTAAGAAACGTATTTAACATACTCCGGAAGTTGACTGGTGAATACTGTCAGCCAAAAGTGCATTGACTTGATTGTTTCCCTTAGGCCACGTTATATTTCAGAATTTTTTCCCACATATACATTCCTTGGAAAAATTCTTAAATCATACAAAACTATTAAGCATTCTAAGCACTGACCACACTCAAATCCGTGTAAACATTATTATTTCTTCTCATAAAATCTCCCTGTAGATTTTTTCCCAAAAGATTTTCTTTATTTTCAGAGTGTTGGTTGATGCCTAAAAACCAGATAATACCGTAATTCCAGCTACTCAGGAAGCTAAGGCAGGAAGATTGCTTCAGCCCAAGAGTTCAAGTCCAGCCTGGGCAAAATAGCGAGAACCTGTCTCTGGAAAAAAAAAAAAAAAAAAAAAGAAAAGAAAAGAAAAAAACCCAGCTAATAAAGCTTATAGCTAAAGAATTCATGCAACCTTCCTCATGGAGGACTTCAATATTTTAAGACAAAATATAGGGAACTTGATAGACATTTCTTTCATATAGGATTTTAATAATTTTAAATTTAAGAGGTCACAAAGTCAAACTGACACATCTTCAAAACTATAGATTTACAATTGTTTTAATGATTAGATCCATTATTGCAATAAAATACAATTTTATCTTTTCAGAATATCAAAAGAAAATCTTTCCCCTGGAAGTAAATGCAGCCTGTGTCAGTAAAATTCTACCATTATAAGTGCTATTCTTGTCAATCATTTAGAATGCAAGCATTTCTTATATTATTAAAAATTTTTTTTAATTGACTTCAAGAAGTCTGAATTATTTCACTAGAATCCCTGTGTAATTTTGGAAAAAAACAAAACAAAACAAACATGCTTTATTTTAAATGATTTATGTGTCAAACTGGTATGCCCCAACTACCATGTTCCAGATATTTTATTATTAGATGCTCAGGTATACAGTAGGTTAAACATGACTGCATAAAAAGCACTTCTACTTATAATGCTTACAGGCCTGCAATATAAACTGCATGGTAAAAACAAGTCTACACATTTTTGAATAATTAGCCAGCATGTAAACATAAGTCTGTTGGCCTCCAAAGTTTTTGGCTTTTCATTCTATTATACTAAAATCTCCACTAGTCTTCAAACCTGTTCTTAAAAATGTAATAATAATTTAATATTACAGCACATACAACTATTAATAACCATTTGAAAAAAATCATCTTACTACTATATACTTTATTTTGGAAAACATCAACAGTTATTTATTATATTTTTTCTTTGAAATTGATGTTATTTGAAATTTAACTCAACCTAATTTTTCCTATCCAAAACATGACAGAACCCTGGGTATCCTAAAACTGCAAGGCTATTAATTACACTAATCCAGGTAACTGAACCCTCTTATGAACAAACAAAGCTTAATGTCATGACTAGGGTTAACTCATCAAGGTGAAATTAAGAGTTTTATTATGTGATTAGTTGTCATTAAATAAATGTACACTTATAGTTGAATAACATTCTACAATCAGAAGAAAAATAAGTCTTCACAATAAAAACTGGTGATATGGCTATATAGAAATCTTATTCTATGATCCTATAACTGCAAATTTTTTAAAACACAGAATTGAAATATGCATTGTTGACTAGGAAGAAACACATGCCTTTTATATTAAGTAACTACTCTCATATTAAGTAGCTAAAAGTTATTGAGGTTTCTGAGTTTTACATTATTTTTGCGTATCAGAATAATTGTAAGCTTAGAAAACTCATAGATATGTTGGCATACAGTTGCAAAAAATGATCTTTGGTAAAAATTAAGATGTAATGAAAATATAATAAATTATATAGTCCCATCAGATTGGGAGACCAATGAAATGGATGATAGACAAAAGAGAAGGAGCAAAAAATTACGTGTGTGTGTGTGTGTGTGTGTGTGTGTGTGTGTGTGTATATTTTTTTTTTCTTAATGTTAATTTTTTTAAAAAAACAGAAGGAGTTTGTTTAAAAAGCAGACCCAGGCTGATATCAAACTCCTGGGCTCAAGGGATCCTCCCATCTTGGCCTCTCAAAGTGTTGGGATTACAGGTGTGAGCCACTGCGCCTGGCCTGCAAAAATTATAGACTAGAAAGGTAATAATAGAATAGAAACTAGGCTGGGTGTGGTGGCTCATGTCTGTAATCCCAGCACCTTGGGAGGTGGAGGTGGGTGGATCACCTGAGGTCAGGAGTTCGAGACCAGCCTGACATGGTGGTCTCTACATGGTGAAGCCCCGCCTCTACTAAAAATACAAAAATTAGCTGAGTGTGGTGCCAGGCAACTATAATCCCAGCTACTCGGGAGGCTGAGGCAGGAGAATCACTTGAACCCAGGAGATGTAGGTTGCAGTGAGCTGAGATTGCACCACTGCACTCCAGCCTGGGTGACAACAGCAAAACTTCACCTCAAAAAAAAAAAGAAAATGGAAGAGAAAATAATGTAGAAAAGATATAGTAGAAGCCAGACTACAGATGCTAATCAGGATTAAATTACAAGTAGAAACACTGGGATAAGGTGTAAAAAACAGCAGAATTTTCTTAATATGTATTTCATGACTTAAATACCGACTATAAAATCTTTTAAGGAATCACATTGTGAAGAAGATAAAACTTACTTTAGAGTATTTATAGATACAGTGTAAGGTTCTAATCTTTAATCAAAAGAACACATATATAACTATATTATCTAATGACCCACACAAATTCTTATCCTAATATGCCATAAAAGTATGCTTACATATTGCTTTGTAATTTTAAAAGTAAATTTAGGATCTATACCTTAAGTTTGTAAATTGTTAAATCTCTTGAGTATTCTGAAATAATAATAGAAGTATTTGCACTGCAAAACAAACATGTACTCACCATCATGATTAGGATTTCCTAGTGTCCATGGCTCATCTGAGTCAAAATGAGTATCTCCTCCAATTCCTGGTCCAGGGAAGTAGGCATGTGCTAAAAATCCTCCCTCTCCATCAAAGGGAGAACTGTCCCCATGGAAACCAGATGCAAAAATAATGGTTATATCCACATCACGTTTGCCATTTTCTAATTCACTGTAGGGAACTTCTTCAAATGTCAGAGGAGTTACATTCTGCCACACATCAAAGGCACGGCGAATAGCTTTACGAGTCTCAGGGTCTCCTACTTTTGGAGTTACGTTCTTTATACTGAAAGTTAGAAAATATAATAATCAGTATTGTTATGTGTAAGTTAATTTATTACAAGTTTTGATCGATTCAGTTAAGTAAAATATTAGAGAAAATAGTCATATTAAATAGAAATAACACATACTCATTCCTCTTGTCTCTATTGTTAGATTTCACTACTTTGCAATCATTTAATTTTCTTCAGGATAGTATTCATGTATCAAAGTTTTAAATGAGAAGATCTCTGTAGAATGGTTAACAGTAGGGTAACTGGATCAATCAGTTACTTTACCTTCTGGATAAGAAAGAGAAAGGCAGATTTGCCAAATGATCAAAGAGGCACAACAGTTTTCAGATGAAATAAAAATTTCATTTTTTTCTAATTTTTAGAGGCACACCATTGTATTTACACACATCAATTTCAAACAATGTCTTTATGCTCTTCTTGATCTGTAAATAGTAATTGAGCAGATACATGATTATTTCTTAATTTTTAAAGAAATGATCAAATAACTACAATTTCTGATGTTCTATTGTTTCTTATTAATTTGTTCTAGTTAAAAATGTATTGTGAATAAACAGCTACTTAATACAAAGGTTAAACAATTACATGAATTTAAAGAAGTAACTTGGACATCATGTACTTTAGTTTGTCCTAATGCTAATAACAAATGGATTAAATCACTGATAAATATTGTCCTTGATTCATTCAGCACTAAATCAGATGTTTATTTTTTCTCAGTTTTTTTCTAAACAACAAAAATGGAACTAGTATGTGTATTTTTTATATTATAGCACTATAAATTCAAACCATGCATGTGAAAAAAATGGGTAAATTTCAGAGGAGTCATAAATAAGTTTCAGATCACTTCAACCAATAATGTTACATCTATGAACTTACACTAATGAAATTTTTCTGACTCTTTTTTCTTTTTTAGAGATGGGTCTGATTGTGTTGCCCTGGCTGGCCTTGAACTCTTTCACTCAAGCAATCCTCCCACCTTAGCCTTTCAAGCAGCTGGGATATAGGAAGTAATCACCATGCCCAACTGATAATTAAACTATTTTATTACAAAAAAGGGGATACCATATCCAGGTGAACATATATTGAAATGCAATCATAAAAGAGAACCGAAAGTGAAACAATTTAAAATGATGAAGTATGGCTAAATCATGGCATCGGTAACGCATGCCATTATATAAATAGGATTCAAAATTATTTTCCCGTTTTAAGACTTTTTAATCAGCATGGAAAAACTTGTAGGATTAACTTTCCAGTGGAAAAAATAATATGCATATTATATTTTTAACCTGATTCTATGTCAATACAATTATAAATATTGGGCAGGAATTATGTAAACTAAAAATAGTATTAATGAAGCATTTACTATGAGCTAGAAAAGCACTTCGCATTATCTAATTTAATCTCCTGAGTAACTCAATGAGATGGGTATTTATACCTATTTTACCAAAAGCACAGTGGGGATTTATAAGAATTTAGAGAAAAATCTCTAAGTGGCAGAGCTAGGTTTCAATCCAAACATTTGGGTAAAAATCTATTGCCTTAAATTCTATGTTGGACCACACATTTAAGATACATTTATCACTATTTTCTAACAAATACCCAGATTATATTTACATTGATTATTTGGTGGTAAATATTATTCATTACATAGAGGAAATAAGATAGCAAACCAAGTGGAAACAGTGCAGGCAAGGAAGAAGAAATGGCAAGTGAAAGGCGTTGAAGTGAAGATATTCTTGGCAGGTTCAAAGAACAGCAAGGCAGCTGGTATAGTTTGGTCACAGAGAGAGAGCAAGTGTCAGGATATGAGGTCAGTAAGTTAGAAGGAGACCAAATAAGGTAGGTCCCCGTAGGCCACTCTAAAGAGTTTGGCTTTTGCTCTGAGAAGGGAAAAACTGGAGCATCATGAACAGACATGACATTTGACTTACGATTTAATAAATGACTTGAGCTATTATGTTGAAAATATAGTGATATGGTGCAAGAGTTGAGGCAGGGAGACACATCAGGAACTATTGCAAAAATCCAGGTGAGAGATGATGGTGCTTTGGACCAGGTTGGTACCAGCAGAGATTTTGAGAAGTGGTTGTATTTTGGATATATTTTGAGAATATGTCTCCCAAGATATACTGATGGATTAGACATAGGCTATGAAGAAAAAAAGAAGAGCTGAGGAAGACAGCATTTTCTTTTTTTGACCTGAGCCAAAGGATGGACAGAGCAAAAGAATTCATGCCTACTCAGGGAGAAGGCTGTGCAATATTTTGTTGCTATTGTTTTGTTAGTTTGTTTTAACTCTACGGTATATTCAACATGGTGCTAAAAACTATATTTTGAGGAAGAATAAACATCTGCACTGAGATAGCACAGACATTTGTCTACCTTGCTAGTCTCTAAATTTCCTGTCTAATGGCTAAAGAAACATGCAAGGTAATGTAACACTGAATTTTGTCTAAATTAATTTTCCTAGTAGTCTTGCATTTTCTATGCACCCTATGGGATTTCAGAAGTCCCTCATTAGTGGGCTGATATTCCTATGACACATTATTGAAAGAACTTACTACATAATTGGCACTGTTCCAGGTGCCAGAGATACAGCTGTGGGCAAGACTCTGCTCCCACAGTGCTTATATATTCTAGTTATAAGAGATAAATAATAAACAGAACAAAAAGATAATTTCATATGGTGAGGGGGTGGGGAAATGACAAACAGGATTTCAATGGCAGAAGGAGCTAAAGATGCCTAGCACTGAGTTTCCAGCCGGGGGAATGGTGAGAAGGCCAAACAAAGATGGCCAGTTCAAAGAACTGGACTGCTCAGTGAGTTGGAGCAATGACGATCACTGTGTCTGATGGAAAAATGGATGAGGGGACAAAAATGGGAGTAATAAAACATTTCAGAAGTTCACATAAGAGAAGAGAGAAAAACCAGGACTTGTGTGATAGCCATGGAGATATGAAGAATTAGTTTCAGTATGTATTCTGAGAGAATTGTTCACGGGGATTGGTGACGGATTTGATATGTAATGGAGAAATTGATTTTGATTTCAAATAAAGAATAATCTTATAATAGAGAAATAAATCATGTTAGTATTATTTGCTTGTAAGTACATAATAGTTTTGAGAAAAATGAAGCAAAATATATAATAAAAATAATAAATGTGGAGTACTATTTGGATTTGAGAACACATCACTGTGTTTTTCAAAGCCATGTACTGATTAACTTCCAGATATGCTTAACTACATTATATATGATTGTCATTAATAAATACAAGGTATCTGTACACCAAATCCTCATGACATGAGTTTACCTCCATAACAAATCTGCACATGTACCCCTGAACATAAATTAAAAGATTACAAAAAAGAGATAAAAATGTTATAGATGCTGATGACACTGAGCCCAGGTTGAATCCGGGAAGTCAGTGCCCAGTTTCACACATGAAGGGTGGAGATAAAAAGGATCCTTACAGTTGAAAAACGTGAGCTGAAAGGAAGGTGTATTTTCAATAATAAATCAGAATAAATAGTTAGAAACTGACACTGCTTTATTTATCTTCTGGAGGCCCACTTAATTGTGGATTTTGGATAGTATGGAAGAAAAAAGATAGCTGGTTAAAATAAATTTAAAATTCTAAATTAAAAAATAGGAATAAACATAATTATAGATATTATTTCATTTTAATAGGCTTTGATATGTGAAGTTAAAATGACTGTTCAAAATGGAAATGAGTACTCAGTGGTCTTACTTGAATTAAACAAAGATGGAAAATTCAACATTACTTTAGGAAGAAAAATACTTATTGCTCTTATTTAAATATATATGATGAATTTCAATGGTATGTGCATTTTTTTTTTTTTTTTTTGAGATGGAGTCTCATTCTGTCACCCAGGCTGGAATACTGTGGCACTATCTCGTCTCACTGCAACCTCCACCTTCTGGGTTCAAACAATTCTCCTGCCTCAGCCTCCCGAGTAGCTGAGATTACAGGTGCCCACCATTACAGGCAGTGAATTTTTGTATTTTTTGTAGAGATGAGGTTTCACTACTTTGGCCAGGCTGGTCTCGAACTCCCGACCTCAGGTCGCCTTGGCCTCTAAAGTGCTGGGATTACAGGTGTGTGCCACCGTGCCCGGCCATATGATGCATTTTTAATTGTGTTCTTAATGATTTGGTTATGCTGAATTAGCAGTATAAATAATGTAAAAATAGCAACACCTAATTTTTTTTATGAAAGTTCAGAAAAAATTATAGTTAAAATTTCCAATTTAGATGATTAAAATTACTAACTTTTTATAACACATACAATGTAGTGGTAATTTAATGACCTCTGACAACACATTTTATGCAGTAAAAACATAAATAAATACAAGATATACAAGTATGCTTCAAAGTGAGAGCGAGAGTTCTGAACTAGGTGCAAACAAAAACAAGAGTTTAGAAACTTTTATGCCATTGAGAGATGTATTTTGTATGTATTCATAAATGAACTCACAAAGGTCACAGAGTGATCATGAGGTAACAAGATTGCTACTAACAATTCTAATAAAAATGCAGAAATGATTAAATATATTTGCAGAATAAAAGACATTGACTTAAAATGAGTAAAAGTCTGAAAAACTTAATAAAGCTAATTTAATTTTAAAATATTTTTACTGGCCCTTTCTTTTTGTGAAAACAGTAAAGTGAGTATACTTCTTATTTAACAGATGATAGATTTCATTTTTTGAAGTATATGTGGCATTTTATTATACTATTTCACTGATTGTTTCAAACTTCCAATTTGGTAAATTTTGGAATTTTAATCTAAAAATTGTTAAATTTTATCTTTAATGCCCATGTCTTACACAGTCTTACATAACAAAACAAGTGTCTTTATTTATAAGTACAAAAGAGTTGAGAAAAATGAAGTAAAATAATATAATAAAAATAAAAAATGTGAAACAGTATTTAGATTTGGAAATAAAACTGATGTCTTATCATTAGATCAAAACA